TGCTTGGTTAGTCCAAGGACACACCATGCGATTTCATTTGCTTCTCCAGAACAAAGCGGTTTGTTTGCTGTATGATTCCTAGGCGGTTTGAAACTTCTCAGCTACCTTGGTACCCAAGGAAGTGTTTTTCTATCTTGAGAGCTGAGATCAGTTTGGGATACATATGTCAACGGTTCCTCAATATAAATTTTGCACACTTCTGGCAGGATACTTCCTGGAGGATATCATCTCTAAACTTTATTTATTCTGGTAGTATAACTGAAGTGGAGGGGGAGGGGCAGGCTGAGCAGGAGAACAAAAATAGCTGCTAGAGTGCAGCAGCCGTTGCTGCTCTGTTTGAGTGTGAACCCCTCCCCTCTCCCCCCCCCACATATATTGGGAGCCAACCTAAGGGGGAGGAAAAGGGTGGGGGGAGTGGGACACTGCTCCCATTGCATGATAGTATTCTGCTGGACTACTGCTTAACTTCTCAATGAAGCATCGTGAACATCTCCAGGACCTGCCCTATTCAGATACCAAGCTTAACATATTGAACTTGGCTTGTTAATTGGAAACAAAGTACAGGCATACCTCTGAGATATTGCGGGTTCGGTTCCAGACCACCGCAATAAAGCGAATATCGCAATAAAGCCAGTCACACGAATTTTTTGGTTTCCCAGTGCATATAAAAAGTTATGTTTACACTATACTGTAGTCTATTAAGTGTGCAATAGCATTATGTCTAAAAAAACAATGTACATACCTTAATTAAAAAATACTTTATTGCTAAAAAATGCTAACCATCATTTGTTGGAAAAATGGTGCCGATAGACTTGCTCAACGCAGGGTTGCCACAAACCTTCAATTTGTAAAAAACGCAATATCTGTGAAGCGCAATAAAGCGAAGTGCAATAAAACGAGGTATGCCTGTACTGTATCACTATTCTCCCAAGACCATGCACCATTAAAATGAGCCATCTCACCATGGACTGAAGATCATGTCATAAACTGTCTTTTGTTGCATGTTTTCATGCAAGTGAAATGGTATTTTAAATGTCAGCATTGATTATCAGACATTTGAGTTAGCAGCCTTTGAAAGGGATTGGGCGAGTTGCACCTCACAGCTATCGCTTCAAGTTCTGAAAACACAGGCTTTCACCCAGACTCAAAAACGTGAACCATGAGAGAAATATTTTAGCAACAAGAACAACTGGAGTTTCTTTTTATGCAAGCTTAGTTTCTGGAGAAAAAAAAGAATATGGCACATCTTAGCAGTGCTGCTATTCTGTGTATACCACAGCATGCTGGCCTAGTCAGAACCCCGATATAAATGACTGTGCACCTTCACAGTTAAATAAATCTTAATGCTGGCACCAAAAGTCAATTTCATCCTATTATATTGTTATAAAGTGTTAAATGTGAAATAAAGTCTAAACTGGATAAATGCTACAGCAGAGTGTACGTTTACAATGACGTTACCTGTGCTTGATCAGCACAAAACTTTGTTAGGCATAGAAGAATGTTTTGAAGGTTTATTTCCTGGGCTGTAATTATTTTATATGAACACTTGATTATAATTCCATTTCATCTAAACTTAGTCTGGTTCCAGTCTAATTAAAAAGAAAAAAAAATTGCGAGTACAGCCTGCAAGAACTGCCAACCTGCTGCTTTTCTGTGCTTGTCAGTTTTCCCGTTTTGATTTAGCTCTACAGGGTGAGTGAAAATGCAGTATATAGTGTGTTTTATTTAAGCCTGTGTTAGATACTGGAGGTAGGTCTATCAAAGCTAATTTTGAAAGGATCAGAATCAATTTTGAGTGCTTTTGAGGATGAAGTTTGCCAAATTTATAAACACGATGGCTAATTGGCTGCTTATGTACAGATTTATAATGCTGTTGATATAACACTGGAACAGTGTCTGCACATGAAAAAAGGAGACTTTGACAGCACCCTGCCTCCACAATTCCTTTCAAGACCACTTTTAAGATTTTCTGACAGAACCTACATGCTAGTGTTAGACACTGAAGCCAGTTGCTTTCATTTCATTTTAAACACGTCAGTAAATGGGTGAAAACCAGCACACAAGAGATAACAGCAGTGGCAGCAAAGTGGTCAGACAGAAGATAGGCCTTGAGAGGGACAGGAAAAAACTGGAATTAGAACATGGCAAAATAAGAGAAAGAATGATATCCCAAGGAGTTAAGGAAGAACATAAGCGGACACAAGGAAGAGAGTCTGAGAAGGCATAAAATATTACTTCATTTAGGGTTAAATGATGTCCCAGGTATGTGACACACAAGCCTCCAGTGCAGCTGCACATTCCTGTTACTGTAGAGCCTTGTAACATTCCATTCATCTGAGTGGACAGTCTGTGGAGGACAGCTGGCAGAATATATACGTGTCCCATCAGGGAAAACGCAAAGGGCCTAATTGGATATCAAGTAGAGCTAAGCAAATAATTCAGAATAATTACTTTTATTTTGGGGGGGCCGGGGCAGGGGGTGGCATGCAAAAGGCCCACAAAAACAATGCAGTGTTTTCAAAGTTAGTCATAATTTGCCTATTTCTTTAGTATGCAATTTTTTGGTTTGCAAATGGCTGAGATTTTATTATATAGTTGAGATCCTATCCCCCCAAAATGTGATACAGAAGGGCCCTTTGGCTATTTCTGTTTCCCCATAAACAGGCATATGCCTGGAGAAGCACAAACTAGAATTATATAATTAAATACCTAAAACTGAAATTCATTTTTCTGTTCACTTGTCCAATTCTCTAGGACTGTAGCATGTGCTTAAAGACTTGGTCCCTTGAGATTTAAGGAGGCTGAAAGCAATTGACATTACAGTAATTGGGAGGTTGGAATTTGAGGAATTGTGCTTTTTTGTTACATTTTCTTTTGAAAGGGGATGTTGCAGGGCACTTACAATTGAAAAATAGTGACCTACAATATAAGTTAGAGAAGACCTGTGTCATGGGGTGGGGTCTCTAGAGACTATCATGATGCCCCTAAGGCCCTGTGACTGTGCCAGCTGCACCCTGCAGGCACCTTCTAGTCTCGCCTGCCATGCTTTATTGGTTAAGACAGTAAATAGGGAGGATGCCCTCAAGTTGCTATGAAGTCACGGTCCTGATGGACCCCACTAAACCCTGAGGGGTTTTAGACCCCTTGCTGGTTCCCCTTCTAAGCAGGTGCCTCACAAGACACCCCAAGCCTTAAGGGCTAGATGTGTGGCTCCAAAACCGCCCCTTTACCACGCCTCATGCCTCGCAGATGGTATTTAGACGTTGTTTCCTGTGATGAGGCCTCAGTTTAATTCAGCCTCTTGTTTGTCATTGGACCCTTAGCCTCAGTAACTGCACCCTCTGGCGCTGTGGTCTCCTCACACCCTGTTACTGTGTCCTCTGGTGCCGAGGCTCTGCACAGTAGTGTGCCCCAATGAGGTTTCCTTCTCCCCAACAGCCTCAGCCCAGTTCACTGGATTAAACAGCAACAAAAATATGAGCCCTTGGGCTATAACCTAACAATAATAATATCAATGACACTGGAAACCACACTCTGCACCTTTAAGAGGGCCAGTTTCTCCCTCAGCAATCTGTACCTCCCATCCCCAAGCACTTTAGGAGCTCCTAGAGCCTGTTTGTCTTACCCACAGCCGGACAGGCAGCCAAGCATCTCCATGGAGCTTTTATGCATGAACTCCTTCCCCCTGGCTGCTGCCAGAGAACTGACCACCTCCAGCCCTGGGGCTTATATGTGCCCAGGCCCCTGTTTCCTTCCAGTCAGCTGACCGGATGCAGGTGCCGGCTAATTCCCTCATTAGCCTGCTGCCACGGCAACCTGCACCTGTGGGGTTTCTGCCTGGCTCCAAGGGCCCTCTCTAGGCAGTTTCTGCCCTTAAAGGAGCAGGCACACCTTAGCACCCTGTGACAACCTGTCCATTTCTCCTTGATTAGGAGGCTAGAAGGGGATATTATGCCCCAGACCATGTGGAAAAAGGCATGACATTCAGTAACAGAAGATCCTACAAAAGAAATATCAACTTGTAAATCCAGAGGGGATCACTGAAGGTGGGGCAAACTTGCAACCTACAAAATCAGCAGCCTTTTAACCACAGCTTTAAACCCTTAAGAAAATTAGTAGCACAGGGTGCTTAAGGGATGCTATTGCCATGCTTAAAAAAATTGCAGTGAAATTAATGTATATGGTATTTTGATGCACTGCAGCAACATTTTAGAAAACAACAAATCACTGTAGCAATGCAGTAGTTCTGGTTACTGTAAGTTCAGAATAACAAAAAAAGTCCTCTCTTGGTTAAGAATTGGCAGCCATGCTGCTGAACATTTCTGCTCAGTTTCCAAGACAACACTGCTGAGAACATTTTTACCTTGTGAATGTATTGCAGAGAAGCTTGTAAAATGCAGATAAACTCTGAAGTCAAGATGGCTAGCCTATTTACTGAGCTTTTTTTTTGGTGAATCCAGGCTATATTCAAAGTATTTTGTAGCACACCAACACTCATTCTCCTATTAATAGGCAAATCCATATTGCTGACAAAGGCAGGGTATTATGCAAATAAGAGAACTCTCTCATCAAAGCTTCCAAAACTTAAGTTTTAGGGGTATGAAAAGAATCATACTCCTAATCAATAGAGCTTTTCTGGCAAAAAGCCCCGTGTGGATGGAGTTATATTGACAAAAAATAGGAAGCTATATAATCTATACTGGCAAAAGAACAGTATCTCCAGATAAAGGGTTTATCTCTACTGCTATAGACAAATCCCTGTGCAGACAAGATCCAAGACAACTTAAATAAGCCATTTCCTAGTTCTTGCCAACTGGCATGTATTGAAAGAGATCAACAGTTTCAGATGTACAATGATCTTAAAAATCTGGAGAACTAAAATTGAGGTAAAGTCCAGGTTTATAATTTAACCCTACAGTTTATAGCTTTAACCCCTTCTAAAAACAGCAAAAAACAAACAAACAAACAAACAAACACTGACAAGAAAAATAAGCACAAAATTTCTTTGTAATGAAAGCATTTAATTTGTGGGACAATTTCACAATATCATTTTCAGGTCAGAGGACACGTCTGAGGTATTTGTACAGAACTTAACACAATTGGGAACCAATCTTATGTTACAAATCCATAATTATTTATATTATATATTATATTATATCCTGAAAAACAGAGAAAGACTGTATGAATTCATATAAAATTCAAAGTACAGAAAAAAAAGGCAATTTAATTGAAATACCTCTTAATATTAATAATTTAGTTACATTGTGCAATTTATTCAGAGTTTATCATTCAAAGCCACATAGTTATAAATGTATGCTCTTCACTTTTATCATGTGCAATTCTGAGAACAAATTCATCCCAAACTGATCTCAGACCCATATAACACAAATATATTTTTTCTGTACTACAGTACGAAGTGATAAGATAAATACTGCTTTTAATACTAGTACATAGTTAAGATGGTGTAGATGTTAACTATTAATGGACAAAGGCTAAATGACTGGAAATTCTACTCATCCCTGTGGTAAAAGTAGACTGTGATAAGCAGTTGTAATTTGAAAGTACCATACAGAATATTTGTCTTTTACAACTGACACACAGAAATTAACAAAGAAAAATTAAATTCTTCCTCCACTCTGTACTACATAAAATGCTAAAAGTCAGCTCTCAGATAAGCAAATACCAGTGCTGAATTTATTCAGACTAGCAATTCAAGGCACTCAAGTGCAAAATAAACTAGGATATATTATAGATGATAATGCACAAAACAAAAGCAACACCCCCAAAAACTGTGAATTTGTTCTAAAACTTTACTTTGGAAAAGTTGTAGAATGTATGATGGAAAAATCTTTGGGTACAATGAAAAGAACTAAACCACCCAATTTATCAAATACTATAATATAATATTTAGATTTTCATCTTTAACAGAAGGTATCAAAGCTGGAACAAAAATGTTTTTGGAGCATAAATCTAAACTAAGAGACAGACCAAGTAAAGTGGCAGTGTACCAATGTACAATGTGCGTCTCAGTTTTAGAATTATGGAACTTGTATGGAAGCGACCAACACCACCAGAGTTGTATTGGTTCTGCAGTGTTACCAAGAGGGAAAAACAACAGTTTGCATTTTTGTCAGTAAAATAAGAAAATATTACACAAAATGTACAGTGCGAGCACAAGCTTGGAGAAATGGCTACTGTTTTTATGTAGTTAAGTTTCTGACCATAAATAAGAATGCTGATCACATTTTTATATTGTAAACTGTGACATTAAAAATTTATCTATAGTAGATTCTCCTAAAACTCCATGGAAAAAGCATGGACATTTTAAACATTTTCACCACTACCTATAATTTAGACAAGTCACATCAACAAAAAAATGGTGGTTTAGGTAACCCCCAAAACAAAACAATCTAATATGCAAAACAGCACATACATTTCACCCATTAGAAACTCAACACATCTTCATTATATAAAACATCATACATCTCTGAAGTCAGTTTTCCTTTTAAGAGAATACTGAGCGTTCACAGCATCTGATTCCAGTAGGCCCCAAAACAAAGTTCATTTACTTCATTCTCTACTATTACAGAGTTGGTACAAGCACTGTGGATGGACTACAATGATACACTAGTCTGTCTTTTGTACGTGAAATTTGCCTCCAGCAATGTCAGGAACAGTGAAAGTTGGTAGATTAGCATTGGCTATACAGTTGATTACACCAAAAGGTAAAAAAATATATGTATTTAAAACTCTTTACCAAACTACTGTTCAAGACACAGTGTAACCATGGCCTGGGCTGGCCAACCCCATCAATCATTTTTTGGTTTTGCCTTGAGAAATGGCCTCTGCATAGGATAAGTGAATAAAATCATACAGCTGCTTAGCACTGACAGCATTGCCCAGAATTTCTGTGAGTCTGTCCTGTGACAGTGTTGCCAGTTCTGCAATGCTATTAACATTGTTCATTAAGATAGAACAGTTTTTTGCATTAACGCCTGGCATTTTTAAGAGAAAGTCCTGTGGGCCAGGATTATATTTGTCCGATTCTGGAAGAATTTCAGAATCTGCTGTGATGGCCATTGCTGTGGCTGCATCAGGCTGTGGCCGGTTTTGTTTCAACTCCTCAAAGAGCTCAGCTGTAGCATGGGGAGAGGGACACCACAAGATACGTAGTTTTGGGAAATGAAGAGTAAGAAGGGTGAGTTTGGAAGTGACGTCATTACTAGAAATCTCTTGCTGCAGAGAGTCTCGCAAAGTGAGAGAGAAAGATTTGCTAGGGTCAAATTCAATCAGAAGAATCGGCCGCTTGTAATAACGTGACATAGAAATGCATTGAGTGTAGAGCCTTCCGTTATTTAAGGAACCAATCAAATCACTTATACTCTTCCGCTCTATGCAGATATCAGGGGTTAGAATGTAATCTCCAACTTCCAAAGTAACGGGTTCAATGTCAATGCCACGACGATGAATCAGAGATGGAAGCTCACTGCGAAATTCTCGCATATCCACTATTATAATGTGCTGAATACTCTTCTGTTCCTGTCCACCTAAAGAATAAAATATTTTTAATGAAACTCTTTCATATAGCTGATCGCCAATTCACCTTATAGATAACTTATGTTTTATTATGACAATAACTTGAAAGTTCTACTAACCCCATTATAAAATTCTGATTTTTCCAGTGTTTATCATAGTCAAAAGAAAATCAGAAAAAAATCCCTTGCGAATCCATATATAAAATTAATGCTCTAAGGCAGTGGTCTCCAACCTTTTTAAGTAGGAGATCACCTTTGGTATTTAAAAGCAATCCGAGATCTACCACGTACTGCCGCCACCTCCACAGCAGATAAGTCTGTGGAGTGGGAAGGTGGGGTGCAGACTGAGGCATAGGGACAAAAAATTATTTGGGGGCACACCTCCCCAGCAGGTAAGTCTCACCTGGCCAGTGCCCCACTCAATTTACCCCTGTTTCTGCTTCTGTGGCACCATCCCTCACCACGGGGACCTTGATCTAGCCCTCACCCCTTCCATCCCCCCATGGATTGACCTGCTGGGCTGGGGTGTGAGTGTGCATGCACGTGGGCATTCAGCTCCCCACCCTGGCCACGGATCGACTCCAGGAGGCTTTGAGACGTACCAGTGGATCGAGATCCACTGGTTGGTGACCACTTCTCTAAGGTAACTAATATGACACCAAAGATGCAAATCTTTTTCTTCTCACAACTTTTTATTTTTAAAGCATTTGGAAGGCTTTAAAAAAATGTTTCCAGAATGGATTGATTTTAACTCTGCATCCCACTTTTGAGGTGTCAGTGGCACAGGAAATCCAGACTGTTCCTCTTCTTGTTGCTTCACCCACTAGACAAGTTTTAAAATGCAGCTGTATTGAGAACTGGCCATAATTTAACAAACCAAGCTTTGCATATGAAAGTCAACATTCAACTGGCTGAGAATGACAAAATTCATCCTAGGAACAGATGTTGCATTTGTCCCTGGACAAGTTATACCTGTGTTTGTTCTGGAATCGAAATGTCCCTAGATTGGCATGCACACAATCAGGATTCACTGTGGCTTTTCTACCCTTAAGTCAATTGCGTTTATCCCAGGACAACTGGTCAGACACACTTTATTATGTCCCAGATTAATAGGGGTACACTGATAGAGATTTTTGGGGCCAATACTGATAGGTGATTTTTAAGGAGGCATATTGGCCAATACCAATCTGATTTTTGATACAGCTGTGTGCAGCTGGTAAGTCTGGTGTGGTGGAACAGGATGGGGGAGGGAAGGGGCATAGGAGGGTAGACTGAAGCCCGTGTGGCGAGGGAGGGAGTGGTGCTGGGACAGGCGCTACTCAGCGGGGGCAGAGCAGGGTGTGGGACAGAGCCACACAGCTCTTGTTGCTGCATACACCCCAGAAGGGCACAGGTGGGGGGTGTGCCCCAGATCTGTGTGGGGTGCGGGCAGGGCAGGCTGGAGCTGTGGCCTGGCACTGAGGCAGTGCTGGGGGGGAGCTGCAGCTACCCCAAAAATCACCATAGCCACCCCATAGCCCCCCTCCCAGTGCTGCCGCCTACCCTGCACACGCCCCGCCATGCCCTCCTGGATGAGTGGCAGGAGCAGCAGTGGGAGCCGCCGGATGAGTAGACAAGCTGCTGAACGCAGCGGCAGGAGCTGTGCCCCCACCCCTTCCCACGCTTCGTGGATGAGCTGCAGTTCCATCCTGCACCCTCCTGCCCTGGCTGGGCAGCACTTGCCCCTGCCCCATCCCCAGTCCCACACCTTCCCCAGTCAGACATGATTTCCTGGGATAAAACCGTTAACACTTCTTATCCTGTGAACCTTTTTAGGATTTATCCTGGGACAATGGATGTGGATGTCTAAATGATCATGTTTTGTCCTATGATAAAAATGATTTATCCTGGGATGACACAATTTCTGTTTGTAGCCCTTGAGATAAGTGTTTAAACATACCAGGAAAGTTTAATTTAAAAAGATTTATACTCAAAGAACATTACAATTTTCTCTTAAAAAGTGAGAGCAATCACTTTTACTTGGAATTAAGATACTCTCATTCACTCCTAGCAATCTGCCACTCGAATACAACAATTGGGCCATCAGAAGTATGTACAAGACCAGGATCTTTTCCATAAATAAGATATAAACAAAATGTTTCAGGCTCAACTGACTGCTATAGAGGGGAATAGAGAATATACCTGACAGAGAGCTAAATGAGGCAGTAAGATTTATAGGATTAGAAAGAAAAGAGCAAGACAGACAAACCAAGGCATACCATATGCATGCACGTGTCTCTCACCATGAAATGAAAGTGGGAAGAGAAATGGAGAATAAAGACAAACAGATTAGACAGAGGATAAAGTGAACAAGAGGGACCTGGAGGAAATAAGAGGCTGGGTAGAGCTGTGAAGACAAGGGCAAAGAGTTTGAATTTCTAAGAAAAGCAAAAGCCAGATAAGACATTCAAATAAAGGACCAAGACTGTTGGAATGGTAGCACACGGATGACTGATTTTTGTTGCCAAATTTGGGATAGAAAACATCCCTTCTTTTGCTGCCTCTTTTACTGCCTTGTATAAAACTGTAACTATTTATGGACCCCCTTTCCAAAAAGGAAAAACAAACAACCCCCCCAACCACTGCCACACAAAACCCAAAATACCCACCAGCACCACTCATGTATACATTATATGACAATGAATTTATGAATTTGTTTCTGAGGTTGAATACTAAGCCTTGATCTGCCATCAATATAACTGCTAGCTGACTAATTCTTCCACGTTTGTTGGGGAGGGTATTACATAGTTTTTAAGCATTTTTTTTAAGTAGATTTAAGCAGTTTTTTTCCTTTAGTCATGAAAGCCCTCCAGTATAATCTTTTTATGATAAATTCTAATACTCTTTATATTCTGTGCACAGTTTGTACGTGAAACCCATTGATGTCAAAAGATAGAGGCGCAAAATGATCAAGGGAACTTAGGCACCTGCGCCTCAATTTTTACGTTCTTTAGAATAAAACATTGCTTTAAGCTTTCCCTTCTTGAGTCTTCACACAGCAGGCATCATTCACTCTAGCTGTGAGGAGACAGACCAGTCTTCTTACAGAGTCAGTTAATGCAGGTCTTTTGTCAGAGGAGTAGGAGCAAGCTGTAAGACACTGCTCCCTGCTGCCTTTCAAAGCTAAAAGACATACTGCTGCAATTCTTCAGAAGCCTTAGCGTGACTCACAGTCTGATGCCCTGTGCCGAAGGGAAGTGTCTTTGTCCCCAGCCAAAGTCTGGACCAAATGGCTTACTTTCCAATAATGGCAATGAGAACTACATTCATTTCCACTAACCGAATTTAATCTGGTCCTATGTATTATTAATGTGCAGACAGGTATCTAGGGCATTATGCCAGGTTCTGCATAAGCATTAAAGTGTGCTTGGCATTTTTTGGATGGACAAGCTCCTGTTCTGAAACAGAGAGCATACATACGCACGTATTTGTGAAAGGGATAGAGCAGAATTTGTTTACACCAACACAATTCTACTTTCTATTTTTATTTACTTGTCAGTTGGTTGCCTTAGGTACATCTTTAACCTCTGCCAATTTCTTTTTGTTTAGTATCCAAGTTTTCTTCCCCTCCCAGTTTATTTAAAAAGACAAAAGCCCATGCCCTTGCCCTGGAGATCACCCTCCAGTCTACCCAAGTCTTTGTATTAACTCTCTTCTACATCATGGCTTGTGTAACAGAGTTACCAAGTGCTTATGGGAAGACAAATTGCCTTCACTCCCTTCACTTCCTTGCCTAAAGATCTCCCAGTGAAATAGAAGGGATAAGACCTATTTTCCTTTGAAGTCAGAGAGACTTTTATCCTGGCTTTAATGGGTGAAGGACTGATTTTTTTAGTTTGAAATTTTAAAGCAATATTGATTAAGTCTTGAAGCCTCTCCTCTCTGTGAGGTAGGCAGGATGTAGATCTCCACTCCGAAGGTTGAAGGGTGGTGTATTTGCCAGACCATACTTTTATGGTAATTCATGGTGCTACCTAACAGGCAAGTTACAATGATTCAGCAACCCTCTCAGACGCCAAGCACAAGGACTGGAATTTAACCATGAACATATTGTCATTAGGGTCATCTCTACACGTGCTGCAGGGCAGGCAGGCACTTTAATTAAAGCAGCTCCCGAGAGCTGCTCTAATTAAAACACGTGCAGTGTTTCATGTATTCAGCGCCCCACGCTTCAAAATGGCCGTGGGGGTGCTTTAAATAAAACTTGTTTGGCAAGCTTTAATTAAAGTGTCCCCACTGTCATTTTGAAATGTGGAAGCGCTGAATAAAAGTGACGGTGAGGCTGCTGAAGCGTTTTAATTAGAATGATTAATCAAGTCTGCTTTGACGTGTTCTAATTCTAGGGTGTGCAGGCACCCTAGAATATTATGCTTGAGCAGGAAAGATTTCTAAAATAACATTGTACCAAATAATCTGTCAAGTGCTCATCAGATATTCTACCCTGACATTACACGAAGCTGCAGAGCAGTGGTTTTCAACCTGTGGTCCACAGACCCTGGGAGTCTGCAGACTATGATTAAAGGGTAACTATGGCAAAAGACAAAAGATAACTATGATCATTCAAAATATGTGAATAATCACACTTACAATTCAAAGGGTTCTGCACCTCCATTTGAAATTTTTTAGGGGTCCACAAATGAAAACAGGTTGAAAACCACTGCTGTAGAGCTAGCTCCAGGAATTGCTCACCTGCTTTGCGTGTGTCAGTAGAAACAGTTGCAGAAGCTGCATCTCTGATTAGATCCAAGTTTGTTTCATCTCTGCCTTCTCTTTCCTCAGGAATAACCATGCTAGCCTTCTCTCTGAAAAATCAGAAAATGTAACAGTGGAATTATTTCTGTTGTGTTTTATTATTGATATTCATGTCTGAGCTCTCCAGGATCCTAGCATGACAAATACTATAAATTATTTTACATCTGGTGAAACAGTACTAGAAATGCACATAGTTTAGTATTGCTTGAAGACTTTATAAGAATTACAATGATCCAAAGAAAAATCCCAAGTAAATTAAGGCTATTAGTCAGACACTTATTTTTATTAGTATTTGTACTGTGAGGAGCCTCAGATTTCTGTGGAACTTCTCTGGGAAAAGGGGACTTTTAACTGCACATGAAGACCAGCAGCCTAACCTTGTCTTTGCGATACTGGCCCACCACCCTACTATGATTTTATGATGTGTCCCTCCACTGGAACTATATAAAAAGCCCCAAAAGCTGTCTGGCATCATACAGAAGTTGCTATTCCTGTAAGTAAAACATTTAAGATGTCTTCCCACACAAAAGCACGCATAGCTGCAAGCAGCACCCACAATGAGGTTTAGGCCTTTCATATTTCTGAAGTTTTAGACAGATGCATCCATGTTAGCGATACAACTACGCCACTGTCATTTCACTGATTCTCAAGGGGAGACTTAACACTGAAAAGCCAGCATAATTGAAAACTTTAAAGAAATAAGAAATTCAGGTTCAAGAAGTGAACATAAAAATGTGTGCTATGAAACAAGTGATTTCCTGTAAAGCTAGCAAGACCACTTTTATTACCGAATGAGTTTTTCAAAAGCTTCTTTTTCTTTCCTTAGAGTAGTGAGATAGCGCTGTTCTTCTGTTGAACCTCCATATATAAGGAAATAAACCCTACAGGCAGGGCACAAGAACATTATTTTAGATTGCAAAACACAACGTTATCCTGAAAGAAACATGGACATGTTGGTATTTGAGATTACTAGCTTTAAGGGCTTAAATAATAAATATTTGACTAACAAGGACTCCATTAATTACATTTCAACTGAAATTAGAATTGTGGAAATTCATTTGCTGAAAAATTCTTTTATCCAAATTTTCCCTTTTGCCAAAAGAAGGATATGCTTATATAAGCACCGGCATGCAACTGAAGCAGATGGCATGGTGTTTTACTCATCATCACTGTTTTTTTGAGACAAGCAAGTTCTTTCAGAAAAGGCAAGCAGCAAAATAAAAATGGAGATCATATTTTTCATTGTTCTTATATGCAAGCTTGCCTGAAGAACGTTTATAAAATGAACCAAAAGTGTGGATTACTTTAACGATGGCACTCTAAAGTGACAGGCTTAGAGAAGGGCAATACCTCAATTTATATATGGATATACTTTCTTTATATAAAGGATCCCCTTTCACTGGTGTCACATGCATCGCAGCCATCATAACATATACATAGGACTTGAACAGATAAAACATTATATCACTTTATAAAAGCTGGGGGAGGGGATTTGCCACTGTTCTGCTGAACCCACTAACAGTTTCATCCGTCTACTCTTTAGTAAATGGAAACTAAACCCCAATAGTTACCACCTGATTTATTTAGAGATTAAATCATTGTGGTGTAGGAACAGACCAAGTCAAAATGGATCAACTAATGGGTACACACAAACAGTACTTGCCAGTGCAGTTAAAGCAGTATAATTTTTAGTCTGTTCATACTTGGACAAATACTAATAGTTTTATATCAGGTCAATGTATTAAGTACATAAAATCTACATGGAGATATTTCTATTAGCTGTCCCTGCACCATGTTCAAAATACATGAAACTGTTTCCTTGGTATGTTTGCAATGCCTACCCAAAAAGAACTTTTATAATGTCTTAATACCCTGTTTCAACACTGAGTTTCTCAATTAGTGAACAGTATGATCAGGCTCAGGAAAAGGAAGAAGCATACTGTAAAATTTCACTTCATGACCACAAACACTTTCGTTGGGCCAAGCAAACACAGCAAACTTGCAATTAGCGTTCAGCCAGCAGGACACATTTTAAACATAAGTATGCCTCTTGGCCCAGGTTGGGCAGGGGGTAGGGGCTCAAGCATGATGGAACATGTAATTGCTGGTGTGCTGATACATCTCTGTTGTAAAGAGGATTAAATACTTGCTGGAAAAATAAACACACATTTTTAAAGTAGAATCAATTACAGGGTACATGCTTGTGGCTTTTGAAACCAAAGAATATAACTGAATAGGAATTACAAGATAAACACAGATTCATTGAATGGATATTCTGGGTTAATTATCAAATGGCTGTAACACTGGCATTTTTTAAAGCAAAATTACAGCAACTACATTCTCAGATATCAACTCAACTTGCCTCAAGGGCTTCCCAGGCCTGCTTGCCTTATAGACTTCCAGCTGCCGAACAAAAGTTAGTTCTGCATCATATAATATAACATATCGTGGTTCCACTTCATGCAATACCCGAGTGAGAGCATAAGGGTCACTACAACCCTGCAGTGGATGAATAATAGTCAAGGGGGTTCTAAAGATACCATAGTAAGTATCTGAAGGCAAGTTCACATGGAAATCTTCAGGTTTGGTTTCCTCCATGTTGCTTTCTTGGCTACTGCTGAAGTCTTTATAATCCTCTGCCTCATCTCCTATGTTCTCCTCATCTGTTTTTTCCCTTGTCTGGATTAAAATCAAGTCTCTTTCTTTATTGTTTTTGTTTTGTTTTGAAGCAGCTTCTATTCTGGCTTTTTTGGCCCGAGGCCCTTTGTCCAATTTGGCATTTCCTTTGGACTTGACAGCTTTTCTATCCTTACTCCACACATCTCCAGTTTTCTCATCCTTCCCAAAGGTTTTGTTATACAGTCTCATTAAAAAAGCTTCTGCTCCACCAATAATGTACTCCCGGAGTTGTGCACAAGTTCGGTCGTCATTGGCACAAATAAGCACTTGTCCTACAGTCAAAAAAAAATATTTTAAATCTCTTACACTGCACTTTGCTCAAGAGACTTCTTGTATGTGGATAAAGATCTAAATTGTTTGTAAATGATCTCTAGAGCATGCCTGCCAAATGCCTTCACACTTGTTAGTAGTAGTTGCTCTGGATTTTTGTGGACCATCTAACTTGCATGATTTTTGTCATGAACATAACAAGGCGCCAACTGCAGGTCTGTCTAAGTTCCTTATTCTTAAATGGCCAGAATCAGTGCAGGTTCTTTGAACCATCTGACATGAGACTGATGCAAACACAGAATGATATAAAAAGTACATGCTAGTTGAACCTGTTCTAATTTTCACCCTTTGCTATCTAAGTTAGTCAGCCTAGAAATACCTCAAACAAACATATTTTACACCCTCAAATTTGAGAACCCTGGCCAAGCTCTCTTTTTGCAGATTGATATGACTATTTGCAACAGACTTCACTAATTTGATGAGAGCGTACATGTGTCTGATATATGTTCTATCCACTGACATTAGTATTTAAATAAATAGTTACAAATTATTACTGAGGACTGAACAAAGAGCCAGCCTGCGTGCCTGCCCAGGATATCAAAATTTACAAAGATTTGGGTGGATTTATAAAACATCCATATGACTTGGTACCTAATGCTTCTCAGTGAATTTAGCCCTTTTGAAATTCTTACCTGTTTCAAAGGCAGGCATGGTCCCACTTGTAGGTATATCTTCAATTTGGAATTCTCAGCTTCACATTTACAGGTTATTTGTTTACACTGACTTTAATAGCTAACAACTTCTACTTAGTTCTTCTTATTTGTTATTGTTATCCATAAATATTACCAAAGTATTAGACTAAACATAAGACATTTACACCCCCCTCCACACACAAAAGCTAGTTATGTTTCCCCCTTAAAAGTTACTCAGAGGCAAGAACCTATCAAGCCTCTGGTAATCTACAACATTTGACACTATCTTACCTGGTCCACCAAGACTTTCACTGCTCTTGTTCTCATTTTCAATCTCTTTCAATACTTCTCTTAAAGCCTCCCATTTTGGGTTACTTTCTAGAACCAATTCCCTTTTTAGTTCTGAAATACAATAGAACAGATTTAATATTGAAGGCTTTACAGTCAAGAGATCCCCAAAAGCTTTAAATTAATGAGTTAGATACTGATGATAACTGTTGCAAAGGCAGTTTTCAACGGTCCACATATGCAACTTGTTATGCTGATGGGGTTGGGGACTGCTATTTTATAAACATATTTATAAATGAGGACAAAAGCTTTTGTGAAGCAAAAGTTAAACAGAGTAAAATATGGATGCTTTAATTCCAAAACTCTTAAAGGGAAAAAAACCCCATATTTATAAGTGACTGAATAACAAGCCAATACAAACACCCTTTGCGGTTCAAGAACAGTCCCCGTGGAACAGGGGCAGGCGAAGTCCAGCCTGTTGGCCAGATCGGCCAGTGGCAGACTCCATTTTCCAGTAACCCTTGCTTGCATTGCTGTGGCCAGTTTCCATGGAGAGCCTAACAGCTGTGGGGCTGTGACACGGTGGGGCCAGGGTTTCCATGGAGACTGGCCCCAGCAGCATTGGCAGGGCATGTGGCTTTGCAGGGTGCTGTTCTGGGACAAGGATGTTGCAGCGGTGACAGCATGGTCTGGAGCTGGGGCAGAACTGTGATCTGCTGCCTGCATGCCCCAGGCAGGGGTGTGCAGGCAGTGGATTGCGGCTCTGCCCTGGCTCCAGACCATGCTGTCACCACCACAAGATCCCAGCCCCAACCTTGGAGCAGCTCCCTGCCCAGCGACATGCCCTGCCAGTGCTGCTGGGGCCGGTCTCCATGGAAACCCTGGCCTGGTGCTGTTATAGCTCTGCCATTGCTGGGGTCTCCATGGAAACTGGCCAATGTGACATACGCAGGGGCTACTGGGAAATGGGAGTCTGGCCACTGGCCGGATCTGCCATTTTGCTGACCCCTGCTATAGAAGCTCTTTCAGGGACTTGCTGTGCAAGGTCCTGAAGTATGTTACTTCATCTCCTTGTACCTCACTGTCTTATCTATTCTAAATTCGTTAGAGCTAGGACTCTCTCAATGTGTACTTACAAAGCACCTAGAACAATAGGTTCTGAGTCTAAGCAGTGGATCCTTGATGATACTGTAATGCCGGTAACAAATTACAAAATGCTAGAATTAACAGTTTAAAAATGAGAAATTCTCATACCACTTTTCTCTCTCTTCATACTGATATTTTCAGATACTTCGTTCTTCTTACTCACTTTGTCACTGGGAACGTGATAAACTCTGGCTCGAGCATTTACAAACATTGATGTACTAGAGTCAAGAAACAACCATCCTAAAGGTGAAGGTAAACCACAATATTAGTCAATTAGACATTTGGAACATGTGTGCTTCAACTTCAAATAAAAGCACAAAATCTCTCATCTGAAATAGCTATGTTACCTGCTTGTTATATAATCACTGTCTTGGTAAGAGAGAAAAATGCAAATTTGTGATGTGATTTATTTCATGCTGTTAAGTAACAGAAGTTTAGGGGGAGGGTGAAAGCATTAACTGTCAATAAGACCCACGTCCTTATGGTTGGGTATTTAAACCTAATTAGACGCCTCAGTATAGGCTGGAGGATTTAATTAAAAAGTATCAAGATTTCACTGTTTTTGTGCATTTTCTGAATTCACCTCATACCTGAATTCTGACCAAAAGCCTTTTCAGTTGCTTTCAACGACTCTAGAAGATTAAGGAAGGTGACACAATCATACTGAGTTAGATATTGCAGCAAAGTACGTAATATCTTCAAATCCTGAACCAAAGATTTGGTCTTAGCTCCAAGCTGGTGCCAAAGAGGATCTAAATAGTGACGGATTGTCTAGAAACAAATAAGAAAGTTAAGAATCATGTATACATGCTATAGCAATCTACACTGGTCTGCAGCAACTCTTTTTCATTCCAGCATTGAGGGCTTGATTCAATGTCCACTAAATCTTTCACAGTGCCTGTAGAGGTCAGTGATCAGGCCTACAGTAGATTTACATTGGCTTTTAAACCTGTATTGCAAAAATTTTGTATGTTAGAATTACTTTGGTGAAAGAGGCTCAAATAAAAACCATAATATTATATTTAAGTCAGTACCTTGGAAAACTAAAAAATATATGCTCTGACATAAGTAAACAATTTACAAATATTTGCTTCCTCTACTGTTTAAACATAGATTTTCTTTTCCCTAAATAAAATACAGCTGCTGAAATACAGAAAACATAAAAACTTATTTTCCTTGACCTGGCACGACACTTACTAATTAGTAAAGAAAAAGAAACTTATCATAATATCATTCATCTTTTCTAAAGATGAACGCACTGGAGATGAGAGATTTAAATATTATAGAAACAAACATTCTCTAAAATATTCCACAAGGCTTCATGTTAAAATACAAGAAGAGATAAGCTTAAAGTAACTTTGGCATAAAATGACTGCCTAAGCTTATGGTTTTACTTTGCAAAAGTAAACTGGTCAAGCAAGTTTCAGGTCTGCTACCAATGGCAATATAAACATGGCTAATGACAAACAGTATTTGGATAAGATACAGATGCACCAAGCCATAGTCTGCCCCCCCTGCATATGAAGAGCTCCTAGTAGGAAGAATACAGGTTGTGAGCATGTCAGCATGACATAGTAATGCATTGGCTTCACAAATCAAAATTTTCCATTAGACACAGCCAACTAAAAAAAGACATTCAGTACACCAGACTAAACAGCCAAGCAATTAAGAATTTACGCAACTATGAAAGTATTAAAAATTGCCCCATAACTTATATTGCCAGAATAGCTAGGAGGTTTCATCTCAGACCAACATTTCTTTGTGCTTGGTATTGTACAAACAAGCAACAAAAAACACCTCTGCCCCCAGGTGCTCTCAGTGAAATCTGGTAATGCCAACTGCATACAAATAGCACTATGGATAACTACGATTCTCTACTTGCATTTGTTATGAACTTGTCAAGAGAAATTTTAAGTGGCTTCCAGTTAGTTTCTGAAATACTGTATTACCATAGAAAATGCTAGCAAAAATTATCTTTGTTATAATACAGCAAAACACAAGATACCTTGTCAAAAGGTTTTCCAATAGCGTTTTCCAAAGACAAGTCTTCCACCTCAAGAGCTGGATTGTAGCGTTTGAGTTCTTTCAGACACACGTTCAGGATGTCCAGTATAGAAGTCTGGATGGCACGCATGGCAGGAGTCATAGATACATGCATTTCCACTACTTCAGGTTTATGCTTCTCTAAAAACGAGTTCACTGCTACGTGAAACCTAGAGAGAGGGCAGCTTATGAAGAGAAGTTTTTTGGGTGGTATGCTTGGTGCTATAGTTATTCACTAGATTCACATATTCAGCCCAGCCATCAACATTAAAACCAGGTAACCACTATGCACCACCAGCACTATCTGTATCAATATGTGAAGGGGAGATAATGTTGGAATAGATCATGGCATGGAGAATAAGGGCTCCAGGTACATGTCTCCTTACAAACCTTAAGGTGTATTTTCCTTTCCAGCAGAACTTCACCCTGTGGAGGAGATTCCAGGGGTTTGAGACAAGAGAAGAACATTCTGTAACACCACTGTTTACCCACTTCTTCCCTAGTTAACCTCACCTCTGTTTCCTTTTACTGATTAAATGAAAGCTGAAGATACTATTTACAGTAGCAGGTGACAGGACAAAGGAGAAAGTGAGTGGCTTGTACGGTGGACTGATAAAAAAACGACTGTAAGTACAGATGGATTTTCTGTGCAACTACGATAGTCTCTGTGTTTTCACTGTTCAGTAGATATGTCACTTGGCCTAATACAGGAGGTCTTGGCTCTACACCTGGCTTTGCTAACTTCACAGAAGTCTCAAACCTTGTGCCTCAATTACCAGTCAGTTGTGAATTCTTTAAACGTAATACACATATTTAAAGGAAGATACTAATTTTGATCTTGCATCTAAATGATAACGGCAGAGTCTATGGAAAATTACCACAAGCCAAACAACTGCAAGAATAACAAAAATATCATGTACTAAGTAACAAGGTGCCTTACCTGGGCCATAAGTAAAGTTTCCGTACAAAAAGATTTCTCATCACTCTTTCCACTTGGCAAAAGCCAGTATTAAAAGCAATGGCATTGTCTGTGAAAGCTTTAATGAAACCCTGCTTGTTCTTCTGGCGATAGAGTCGCAAGATAAATGCTTCTTGACATGACTCAATGATTCTATGTGCTTTGTACACCAAAATGCCTGGCAGAATGAGAGGTTTACAAGTTACACAAAAGGAAAAATAATATTACAGTATTGTGAACATTTTCTCCACAAGAATGCTTTATTCTTAACATGTTTTGATAATTAAAAAAGAAGAATCTGAATCATCTTCCTCTAAGTACAAAATCCTGCAAGACCAATTCAAATAATTCCTTTTCTTCAGCATGAAAATCCCAAATAATATAGCTCTGTGACTGAGGTATCTTCAGCCAAAAACACTAGTGTAACCATGCAAGCCAGGCAGGCTTAATTTGGATTCTCAGTGCTACATTAGACATTCCTAGAACTTATCTTAAAACAAAATTTGTAATGCTGACAAAGGAGCAATACTGAAAGCCAATTTGAGTATGTTAGTACTACAATGTAAATATTTTAAAGGCTACAAAATTTGAATTAATTGAACCACAAAACATCTTAACTTGTAAGCTGATAATCAGCCAAATAATTATACCCATTATATTTTGTTCAGTTTTCTTGTGTTCAAAGAACCTCTGTAAAATTGTTTTTCAAGTTTTTTCTGATTTCATATATGCACGATTTTAGCAGCAGAAGGGACAATTATGCAGGAAATCTGATTAGATGACTGTAATACAGGCTACAATATTTAATCAAGGCTTTGCCCTTGACAAAAAAGATGCAATGTTACAAAACCCTAGTGAAAACAAAGGAAGTTGGATGCAGTAAACCCCAGAGGTTGAATTCACTCAGCTAAGATTTGCTAAAATTAAAGCCTGCCTTGCTTACAATAGGATTCCAACATGTGACTTAATATATTAAAAAGCCTTCTTTCAAGTGAAGACAAAGTCCACAGAATATGTGAATCAGACACACAACATCTGACTGAACTGCAGTGTCTTTTAGAAACTGACTTAAGGCCTGCGTTAAGTGTCAGAACCTACTCACACCCCTACAAAAGCAGTTCTAAAAAGTGAATTATTTTATTTAAAAGTATAAACTATTTTTAGCTTCAACTGGTTTAGCTCAATTAAAGACCCTGCCCCAACTTTAGTTACACAATTGTGGTTCCTCTGAGATTTGGAAATTTGGCAGCAGGGAAGCAGTGGCTCCAATAATTATCACCACTCTAGGACTTGGATAAGTTGGATGTACACTGCAAATAAGAGCTCACAGTCAGTGGGTTATCTACCACGAACTTTGAGTTGTTTTCCAAGTCACTGCCTTTCAAAAGCTGTCCCCCTTATCTTACGTGACCTATGTCTTGGTTCTTGAATGTATGTCTTAATATTAGACCACATTAAAATACCTGTTAGAGTGAGCTCATCTTACTATGTGATCTATGGCCAATTATTTACCACTCCAGCAATTTGTGTTACCTGAAACGTTTATGTTTTTCCATGTAACTGATAACAGTTTCAAAAGTATTAAGCCAAGAACCTGTGGGACCCGCTAGAAATGCCCCCATTGGATAATGGTTCTTGGATAGTAAAAAAGGATTTATCCATAACAGTAGTATACTGTCTGTCATGTTTGAGGAATATTAGATTAAAAAAAAAAGAGCTTCACTTAACTAGTTTTTTTTCTGAATTTGTTTAGTTACTCATTATATCAAATAACATTTATGTTTAATTTATACATACAGCAAGAAATAAAAATATGGCTATTGTTATACTGACATCTAGTGGCAACAGCAAAAGTATTAAAAATATTGGTAATTACAATTACCAGTGTGACTACTCACAAAAAATTAACTTCCAAATATGTATCTGAAATATCATAAATAAAGTCCTTGCTTTACTTTATTAAGTTCTTACCAGTGATAAGACTTGAAGGAATTCTGTCAGTCAGGAAATCCACCACAAGTATTCGACTTGTTGCAAAGAGGACACCACCTTGGGTATAAACTTCATACCGACTATTGGTCGTAATTTCATTGGTGATGCGCTGGGGAAGATGAGAAACTCCATCTGACCTCAGCTGATCAATAAAATATTCCTAAACCAAACAATGAGATTAGAACACAATACATCAGCAGAGTAACTGAGTAAACGAATGGAAAAATAATAGTCATCTACGTGCTTGTCTATTGTTTTTTTGGGAGCGGTCACAAAAACATATCTACAAAATTGCAGCCATTAGGCACTAACTTCTAGGCAAGATGCAACACATCTTGTCTGGTTAGGTATTATGATTAAAACACTCAGGCTCACCTAACTGACTTCAGAGTCTAACTCTGATTTGCAAAAGCAACTTAGGCAAATTGAATTTCAGTAAGTAACCTAAGGAATTTAGAAAATATTTCCCTGTAATTTCTTTACTAACTCTGAGACAAAAGCCTAAGGTAACTTTAACACTTGGTTGATTAATAGGACCGATGTTAACCAGTAGGTTAATGAGTCCGTTTATTTCCCTTTGCAAGCTATCAAATCATTATAATACCATCCATAAGCCGAACAAGCTCCATCTAAAAAGATGGTTGGGTTTTTTGTTCTCTGCTGCTCCAGCTTCCCCAGCTGTTCCAGAACCTTACTGTTATGATGGTTAGGAACTTTTATTTTCATCCGCAATTTATTTGTGGCCAATTTATATCCGTTTATTTCGTGAATGTTGTGCTTCAGCTTTAAAAGCTCTGCTTCACTGGTGTTTACCTGCCAAGGTATACAGACAGCAATTATACACTTCATCTTTGTTTTGCTGAACTAAACCATGTCTCTACTCTAAAATAAGTTTTTATTCCCCTGACCATCCAGTAGCTCCCCCTTTATGCCTGAAAATGAGATCTTACCACAGCTACATACAAGGACATTACATCTCTAGTTATGCTTAAAATACCCGGACTGGTACACCCTTGAATTGCACTGGTTCTGATTTTAATTTACAGCTGCACCACATAGGAGGCAGTGGTTCAGTAAACTTCCTCCATTTCCCTCACTTCTTACACAGCCTTTGCATTTGGTTACAATAAAAGAGAGACAAGAAAAGCAAAGTTTTATACATAATGGATGCACATACAAAAGAGGCAGTTCCTTACCAATATGAAGTAATAGGGATGGGCAAGCTATTCAACAATCATAGAATCACAGAAAATTAGGGTTGAAAAGGACCTCAGGAGGTCATCTAGTCCAACCCCCTGCTCAAAGCAGGACTATCTCATCCCAGCCAAGGCTTTGTCTAGCTGGGTCTTCAAAACCTCTAAGGACGGAGATTCCACAACCTTTCTGGGTAACCTGTTCCAGTGTTTTACTACCCTCCTAGTAAAAAGGTTTTTTCCTAATATCTAACCTAAACTGCTTTTGTCACAACTTGAGACCATTGTTCCTTGTTCTGTCACCTGCCACCACTAAGAACAGTCTAACGCAGGGGTGGGCAAACTATGGGCCACAGGCCCAGATCTGGCCCATGGCAGGTGCCCACCAATTGATTGGATCTGGCCTGTGGCTGCCCCCATGACACACTGTATAGGGCCAAGCCCTATCTGGGGCAGCCAGTGCGGTGCTCCTGCCTTCCAGACTTGGTTCAGGCCAGCACAGAGTTTCTGGTGGGACTGCTCCTGATGCAGCTGCAGCTGGCTGGGTTGCTGGCTTAGCTCCCTTTGCTGCCAATGCTGGCTCCTCCTCCTGCTCCTGACCCTGCTGTGCTGCTCTGGGTGGGGAGGAAGCTTCAGCCAGGCAGACCCTGCTGCCGCACGTGAGGCTTGGGCTCCAGCTCCAGGCTGCCTTTCACCCACTTTGCCCGCTAGCGCAGGTGGCCAAGCGGATGGAAGGCAGCCAGGAGCTGGAGCAGGAGCTGCCTGGCTGAAGCTTCCCTTCCGTCCAGAGCACCACAGCAGGAGGAGCCGCCAGTGGAGGTGAAGGGATCTGAGCTGCAAACTGTGCGCACTGGCCGGGGCTGGACTGGTGGGTGTGAGCTGGAGTGCAGTGCGGGCTGCCCCAGGTGGGAGACAGTCAGGACTTGGTCCCATGTGGAGCACTGCAGGGGCAGCTATGGACCGCACTACCCAAGTGAGCTCTGCTGCACATACCCCCTGCTTTCTCCCTCCCCTCACCTGCAGCCAGCTCTCAGGACCTAGCACCCAAGCAGTCCCTCCTCCATACAGTCTACTCCCTCCCCCGCCCCCAAACAGGGCAGGGGTGTTCAGGTAGTGGATTGTGGCTTTGCTCCAAGGACCTGGCCCTGCGCTGTCACTGCCCCGCAACCCCACCCCATGATTCCTTTCCTGCCCATCCCAGTCCCAAACACCATTCCTTGCCGAGCTGCAGCCCCAACCTACACACAGGGGTCTAGTGAGTTGTTGCTGTGGTGGGAGAGGTGCTGACCTGGCCTGTGACAACTCGGTAAGGGTTGGCAGAATCTGGAATGGGCTTCCAAGGGAGGTGATGCTCTCCCTTACCTTGGGGGTCTTTAAGGGGAGGCCAGACATGTATCTGGCTGGGATTGTCTGACCCCAGTGCTCTTTCTTGCCCAGGGCATGGGGTCGGACTCGATGATCTGCCCAGGTCCCTTCCAAACCAAACATCTATGAATCTATGAAACTCATCAAATCTCCCTGTGGCCCATCGGCCCAAATAATTGCCCACCCCTGGTCTAGCTTCATTCTTTTTGGTATTAAGTCCCCTCTCAGGCTTCTACTCTCCAGGCTAAATAAGCCCAGCTCCCTCAGCCTCTCCTCAAGTCATGTGCCCTTGTACCCTGGTCTTTTTGTCAAAATGCTCAGCTTCAGTTACAACAGGAAATCTACAACCTAAATAAAGAGGGACCTGATGGACTGTCTTGCACTCAAACACTTGCCTAACTTCATCCCAAGCATGCAGTGGGGATTAAGTTTCCAAATGCAGGGAGACTAAAGAAATGTTCTGTTTAGAAAAAGAAATGCTTAAGGGGCAATATGATACAAGTTTACAAAATACTAAAGGGCAAAGAGAAAGTAAATAGGGATTGATTATTTACTCTCTCTCAATACAAGAAGTAGGGGGTCGCAAAATGAAACTAGTCGGCCGTAGGTTTACAACTAACAAAAGGAAGTTCTTTTTCACACAGTGTGCAATTAATTTAAAGCGTGGAACTCACTGCCATTGAGTGTGGTGGAAGGTGACAGTTTAGCCAGATTCAAAAAGGGGTTGGACAAATTCTGCAAGAAAAGGGGGATCAACAGTTATCAAGCACGGGAGTCAGGAATAAAGCTTCCGAACACAACTTCCTACACCTTAAATTGTTGAAAGGTGCAAGTGAAAGAGGATCAGTGGTAACAGATCCTGCTCATGCCCAGTTCACTCTCCCTTTCAGCACCCACCCTCTGCTACTGTGGACGCAGGCCTTGCGACGTGCCACTCCAGACCACAGGCCAAAGCCACTGAGTAGAGCTAGAATCCTCCTGTCACGAGAGGGACCACGAAGGGCCCACCTCTAATCCCTTGGGACAACAAAAAGACAAAATAGGGATGGCAGCAAGGGTCAGAGGTTCAAAACAAGGGCACTAAACAGGGACACGGAGCAGAACACGCTGGACAGGCCACCTCTGCCCTCCAGCAACTCGCAGGAGCCAGTGATCACTGCTCAGTGACACTGCCCAGAGACGTGCCACGCTGCGTGACGGGCTCAGAGAGCCATAACATAGTGAACTATTAGGCTCCCTCAACCAGGGAGACGACTGCAAAGGCAACAGCTAGTCACTTGCCTCAACTACAAACATCACAGGGAGGGAAGAGAAGGTCAGGAGCTTAGGAGGAGTGCACTAAAGGGGGCCTGGCTCCCTGCACTCCTGACACAGGAGACTGAGGAAGACGGACCCATGGTCTGACCCAAGGACCGGCAACTCTCCTGCTGTCCTGAATCCCCCCCCTTCCCCCAGCTACAAAGCCTCCAGCCGGACCCCGCGCCCTAGCTAGCACCAGCGGGAAGCGACAGGTGCCTGCTCCGCCCCGGAACGAGCCTCTCTTCCCTGAGGGGCGAGTGGGGCCGAGAGGCCCGCCCGGGACTTGCTTTGTTCCGCGCCAAGGGCCCGGGAGCGGACGCACCCGGAGGCCCCGTAGAGCCTGTAGCGCCCGCGCCCCCGGCCCCGCACTCGCCTCCTCGGCCGGGCTTGTGTTGAGCACCAGCACCAGGCTGGTGGGCTCGCAGTACAGGCGGAGGAAGCGCAGCAGCAGGCGGTCGATGCCTAGCCCGCGCGCGCACACCACCAGCCCGTCCTGGTGGAAGAGGTCCAGGAAGACCTGGTTCTCGTGCTCCAGCGCCGCCGCCATGGCCGCCCCCGCGCATGCGCCTAGCCGCCCTCGCCGCAGCTTTCCCTGCAGGCCCGCGGGGTCCCCGCCCGGTTGAGGGATTCCCCCCCCGCCCCCCATGTAGGGCCGCCCGCCTCCAGGACTGCTCGAGGGTCTCCAGAAGTAGCAGTCACTCTCCATGAGATGCCGAGAGTCCCCCGGGAGAGACGTGTTGGGACAGTCGTTAAAATAAGCATTCAATGTTGGGTCTGTTTATGTAGCGGGCCAGTGGGTTTTTAATATGTAATAGTCACGTGCATTTGCCTTCCTGAGGTAAAGCCATTCGTGTCGTTACGTCGCGTGAGGAAACCTCCCCGAATATTTTCAAGGAGAGCTGGCAGCCCTGCCCCCGGGGACCCCCGACGGCTCAAGCCTCCCCCGTGGGGACACCAGGAGCACCGTTTCCCCGGGCGCTGCTGAGGTCCTCGGCCGTCGTGTTCCTCTAAGAGGAGTTTTGGTGTTTAAATAAAAATAATAATAAATTTCCTTTGAGACGGGTCCTCTGAGCAAGTCCGATACACAGTGCTGGGCTTGGGCTCCTCACACATGGCAGCCAAGACAGCTTCCAAGGAGGAGAAGGGGCCTTCAGGTATTAAGAGGTGCTGTAAAGAGCAGGGCTCTTTGTCCAGGGGGCACAGGGCGAGAAGTGCTGGCTTAAAGCCACAGGGGAGACCAAGGTTCAATAGTAGGAAGAGCTTTCCAACTATGGGCAGATCTTAGAAAATTAGGGTTGGAAGAAACCTCAGGACATCGTCCAGCTCAACCCCCCTTCTCAAAGCAGGACCAGCCCCAACTAGATCATCCCAGCCAAGGCTTTATCTAGCTGGGTTGTAAAAACCTCCAAGGATGGAGATTGTGCCACCTCTCTGGGTATCTGTTCCAGTGCTTTACTACCCTCTTAGTGAGCAGGTTTTTCCTAATGTCTAACCTAAACTTCCCTTGCTGCAACTTGAGACCACTGCTCTTTGTTCTGTCATCTGCCACCACTGAGAACAGTCCAGCTCCATCCTCTTTTGAACCCTCCTTCAGGCAGTCAAAGGCTGCTGTTAAATCCCCCCACAGTCTTCCCTTCTTCTGACTAAAGAAGCTCAGTTCCCTCAGCCTGTTTTCAGATGGTTAAGTGCTACAGCAGATTACCTAGGGAGACTGTGTAATCGCTATCATAGGAAGTTTTTATGTGCACTTCCTGGGACAGGAGTGAGATGGTGTGGTCTAATGGTGAGCTGGGTTTTCCTTTATGCAGTGGTGGGGTCCACGGCCAGCTCCATACCAGGAAGGAGGCTCTGGCCAGAAAAAACACAGGCAAGGGTGGGGCTGTTTTCCTTATTCCTCTGCTCACATTTCCAGGCACAGTTTCACTGGTCGGGGCCCACAGGTTCATTCGACTCATTCAGGGGACAGAGGGCACATTCAGGGGGCAGAGGGGGCTGGTACACTCTGCCTGGTATCCCCTTCTGGACCGTTGTTTTGAAATTGTAACTCTCACTCCTGTTCCTGTTTTCTTTTTTATTTGTCCCAAACATTTCTTGTATTCTCAGTGGCCTCCCTTTTTAAGAGGGGCTTATAGTTGTTCATGGTGGGTCTAGACACACGTTCACTGAGTGCAACAAATAGGCCTGCCTTGAGCTGGGAGGCCGGACTAATGACCTGAGGTCCCTTCCAGCCGTGTTTTGCTATAATTTTGTTTTTCTGAGCTCGTATAATAGAACATCACTCTCTAACCTGGTGATGTGAGGCTGTCTCCTTGTTCCAGGGAGTGCTTAATATGAAATACATAAAGGCTTTTTACATTGGCACAAAACTGCCTGCAGCAAGGACCAAAATAATCACATTGCTCACTATAAATTTGTAAGAGTCAACACCACGTAGTGTATAGTAGAAAGGAATGAAACTCCTTGGGGCCCTTTCACATTTTACCCCATGAGGGAAGGGAGAAGAGGCTAGCTAGGGATGAATTAAAGCAAACCAGTCCTTAAGAAAAATAAAAAACATTTAACACACTTCAGAGCCAGGTTAGTCACAGACTCAGGTGGGCATAGGTTACAGTTAGGTCTGGCTTTTACATTTCATTTTGTATTGATAGGGGTACAAATATATATTTTTAATTATGCACATTCTGTTTTTATCACAGGATATGGGGACTGGGTCTGTAGCACCTTAATCTAACTCTGGCCTCAGCCTTTTATTCAGAGAGAAAAAACTTCTGCACAGTCTGTTAAGACCAAAAGGATACTCTTCAGAGTTTTCTTCAGAGGTGAGTGAGGAGGAAGGAGACTTCTTAGAACAACCTTAAAACCTAAGTTGGTGAGAGAGACAAGGAGAAACAACAAATTTCCCCACAGTCTCATTCAATAGTGTAACTTTCTAGACTTTCCTCAAATCTCTCATAAGTGGAGATGAAGCCTCTTCAGAGTTGTCCAAGTTTAACAAGGTGGGATGGGGAAACTGTTAAGTAGAGTGGTGTCCATAACTCCTTTGTTAGGAGAGGGACTATAACAGGGACTCCCATTACTTTAAGAGGAAATTGCAGCAGGCTGAGCTGGCTCCATGGGGCTTGGCAGCTAGGTTAACTATTAGTGAACTAGCTGCCAGAAAGCAAGCAGGTTATTAACGACACAGATAGCAGCTACTTCTGGGAGAAGTGACTATCCTAGGAAATAGAAGCAGAGCAGTAAGCTGAATCTAGACAGCCTAAAAACAAAGGGCTGCAAACAACTGAGCTTAAGTTACTGTAGGGAAGGGAAACTGGTCACCAGACCCAAAATGGAAACCCTTGTGGGCAGCTGGAGAGCTACCTGACAGGAAGGGGAAGGGTTTAGGAGGCACATAGGGCCAGTGCCTGAGACTAGGCTGTCAGTCTGGCCCAGCAGGCAGAAGAGCTCCTGAGCAGATAGTTGCCAGAGAGAGACTTACTCTGGAGCTGCAAGTTAAGTACTTTTGGCTTGCAGGAAACCTTGTGTGGGGATAGTTTTAGTTATAGGCAGAGGGCTTGTATTTTTGTTTACATTTTATACTGGTGAACCAGGTGTGGCTATAAGGGGTGAATGAGGAGGCTGCAGGTGGGCCTGAGGTGCACATTGGTTTTGAGCCCTGCTAGGGGTGAGGACACAAAACATCAGCAGGTGGAAGTCAGGAGTGTTAAAGCCTAAAGCCAGAAAGGTGACAGGTGGCCTGAAGCTTGGAGGGCTAAGGGCCACAGCCTGAAAGGAGCGAAACCAGGGCTAGGGGCCCAGAGCCCAAGAAGGGCAGATATCAGAGCCAAGTGCCCAGAGCTTGGGCAGGCCCAGGGGCAGTAGAGGTGGCTTGAAGCTGGGCAGGTCGGAGGCCCAGGGGCAATACAAGGGAGAGATAGGGGCTGGAGTTTTTCTGGTAGAAAAACTTACTTGGAGCCACATGGACAAACATTCTAATACTGAGGCCCTGACAAGTAGAAAGCTTGCAGTGCTGACGCTGTGTGCATCTCGGCATGCTTTGTGAGCTCCCTTACTCTGCCTGGCAACAGATGGCAGCAGTGTATAGGGCATAGGGTACATCACTCGTTATTATGTTTTACCTTGTGACCTGTATATTAAGCCCAGTCATTTGTATTCAGCTAATGCAGGGGTTGACAGTCTATAGGAAGGTTTGCAGGCAAGGAAGGAGAGTAGCTGGCTCCCTGTTATCTCAACCAGAACTGAGCTGTGAGGGTGTCCAGTGTGCTGCCGTTTGGCTGGTCCTGTTGATCAACTGACTGGATGGATCTGGGAGGCTGTGGCTCTGTCACTGACCTGGGGGCTGTGCCCTGCCCTGTTCAGCCAGGCAGCCCTGGGGGCAACTGTCCAGGTGTTGCAAGTTAAGAGTTTTGAAATGAGATTTTTTTTTGATATTTTATTGGTTGATCATTACTTGGTGCCTATTGTTGCTTCCCAATATTGTCTTTCC